GACTGGGTGAGTGGGGTATTGGACTGGGCGATTGGAGTATTGGACTGAGTGAGTGGGGTAATGGACTGGGTGAGTGGGGTATTCGACTGGGTGAGTGGGGTATTCGACTGGGTGAGTGGGGTATTGGACTGGGTGAGTGGGATATTGGACTGAGTGAGTTGGATATTGACCACAGAAATCCCCACAATGCCCTTAGGGAGGGAATTCCAGGATTTTGACCCAGCAACACTGAAGGAACAGCAATATATTTCCAAGTCAGGATGGTGAGTGATTTGGAGGGGAACCTGCAGGGGGTGGCCTTCCCATGTATCTGCTGCCCTTGTCCTTCTCGATGGAAGTGGCTGTGGGGTTTGGAAGGTGCAGTCGGAGGATCTTTGGTGAATTTCTGCAGTGCATCTTGTAGATGGTACACACTGCTGCTACTGAGCGTCGGTGGTGGAGGGAGTGGGATGCTTGTGGATGTCGTGCCAATCAAGCGGCTGCTTTGTCCTGGATGGTGTCAAGCTTCTTGAGTGTTGTTGGGGCTGCACCCATCCAGGCAAGTGGGGAGTATTCCATCACACTCCTGACTTGTGCCTTGTAGCCTCCAGGATATTAATAGTGGCATTTTCAAGGATAGTGATGTGAATGAATTTCAAAGAGTGATGATAAGATTCTCTTTTCTTGGAGACAGTCATTGGTGTTTTATGTTGTTTCTTATTCATTGTAGGTTCTGGGACTGTACAACACATTAAACCCAGAAGCATCAGCGACCCCATGTTGTGCTCCTCAGGACCTCGAGCCTCTTACCATCCTGTACTATGTTGGTCGAACACCCAAAGTGGAACAGCTGTCCAACATGATTGTCAAGTCGTGTAAATGTAGCTGAGATCCCTTGCGTTGTGTGTCAGTGCAGCTGGGTGGTGAGGTTTGCATGTTTAGGTGCGCAAGGGATAGGGGTGTATGTGTACAAGGAACCTGTGTGTGTATGTGTCTGAGGTCTGTTTGAGTAATGTACGTGTGAGCAGCCTGAGACCTGAAAAGCCACTGTCCTGTTGGTGCAGGCTGGAGAGAGATGGTCCCTGGCTGAACTGGCAGGAGAAACTCAACAAAGACAAAAAGGGGAAACGTCTGAGGAAGAACCTCAAATCTGAATCACCCGAGACCAGAGTGGGACGGAGTGACCGATTGTCCAATCACGCTGTGCTGATGGGTCTTTGAGCTGTGTCCTTGTTGTGGATTTTATGGACAACAAACAGATGGAATGTGAGAGCTTTGGCTGAGGATGATTCACATCGTGAGAAACGAAGGCCAGTGGATTTACAGAATTCAAAGTGAATTCAAAAGATTTTAGTTAGTAATTTTTTTTTGCGCTGTGCGCAGTCTTGGGAGAGGGAGGTTGTGGTATTGGTGAGGGGCCGGGGTGTAGGGTGTAAGGGGAGGGTTAGAATCATGGATTTAATCCCCAGGTTGGCAAGTAGCCAGTCGAAGCTTGTTTCCCTGTTGGTGAATTTCAAAAGCTCGCAGGGAGCCAGCTGTGTTCACAAGGAGCCAGCTGTGTTCACAAGGGGCCAGCTGTGTTCACAAGGAGCCAGCTGTGTTCACAAGGAGCCAGCTGTGTTCACAAGG